GGGCGGGGCTGCTCCCATGGCGCCGGGCGCGCCCCGCCGCACGCCGGGACCCCCCGGTACCGCCCGCGCCCCCCCGGTGCCCCCGCCCCGCCCCGGGAGGAAGAACCGGAGGAGGTACCGGGACTCCCTTCGGTGCTGCCACGCGGGGGCGGGGGTGCGGATGTGTCCCCGGCGTTGCCGGTGTCGGGATGTCCCCGGGGGGACGGAGGGGACTCGGGGGTCGCGGAGGGTTTGGGCCAGTCTCGCCCCCGTTATCCTTCAGATTTCAGGGGTTTCATGTTATTTTTCGCTCCGATCCCGGTGCGAGCGCTGGGAACGGGAGCGGGGCTTTCTCGAGGGGAGCGCAGATCGCGGGGATTGTTCGGAGAGAGGAGCGGATCCCGCTGAACTCGGGGTGCTGCGGGGGGAGTGGAGCCCAGGGGATTCCCGGGAGAAGAACCCGCGGTGGAGTCCCGGGGAAAGAGGCTCCGGTCCCTGTGAAGGGGGGTTCGAGCAGAGGCCGGTGGATCCCCGAGGGCAAGGAGCGGGTGGATTCCCAGCTGGATCCCACCACTCTGCCTGTTCTTGCCCCGTCCATGCTTTTCCCAGGATCCCAGTTGATCCCAAGGAACAGCTGCAGCCTGTGCGAGTCTGGCCACAGGCCAGGGCCTGGTCCCAGACGGGGAAAGCCACCGGTTATCAGATGCTGAAGGGATATTTCCCCAAGGATCCCACCCTGGAGTCTTCTCAGGCCTCACTGGGGATTTCTCCAGAGTGGGATATTGGGTGGGTGAGTGCCAACATTGAGCTTCTCGGCTGGGATTCTGGCAAATGGGAGATTTTGTCACAGCGACAAAATGGGGGAAAACCTCAGGATTTGGGTCGTCCTGCTGTCTCTCCTTCCTCCCCGAACCGGTGCTGCTGCCGCTGCATTCCTGGGCACGCTTGGGGTTTCCTCCCAGCCTGTCACAATTCACTCTCTTCACTTTGTATTTTTCTGGAAAGTGAAACCGGAGTGAATCTCCCGGATCACCTCGTGGCGGTGGCCATGAGAGGGAGCCCCAGCACTGCCCACACTGGAGCTGCTCCTTCCTGTCCTGCTGTTGGATGGGATTCCCTGGAGCTGGGCTGTTGCTTCCCGGGCTCTCAGCCAGCCACTGCTCTGGGTTCCTCCTGATGGACCCCTGGGTTACTCTGGGTACCTCCTGATGGACCCCTGGGTTACTCTGGGTACCTCCTGATGGACCCATGGGTTACTCTGGGTACCTCCTGATGGACCCTTGGGTAACTCTGGGTACCTCCTGATGGACCCTTGGGTTACTCTGGGTACCTCCTGATGGACCCTTGGGTTACTCTGGGTACCTCCTGATGGACCCTTGGGTTACTCTGGGTACCTCCCCACGGACCCTTGGGTTACTCTGGGTACCTCGTGATGGACCCATGGGGCTGCTCTGGGTACCTCATGATGGACCTGTGGGTTACTCTGGTTACCTCCTGATGGACCCATGGGGCTGCTCTCGGTACCTCCCCATGGACCCTTGGGTAACTCTGGGTTCCTCCTGATGGACCCATGGGGCTGCTCTGGGTACCTCGTGATGGACCTGTGGGTTACTCTGGTTACCTCCTGATGGACCCATGGGGCTGCTCTCGGTACCTCCCCATGGACCCTTGGGTTACTTCAGGCAGGTTTGGGCTGTATGAGGAGACCTGTGGAAACGCAGCTCCAGCGCTTTCTCATCCTTGACTGGACGGCTGTGGAGCTGGGGTTTGCTGCCAAGGAGCAGCCTGGGATGCTGGATCTGCTCCACGATGGAGATCCATCCCCTCAGCAGCTCGGCTCTCTGGCTCTGATGTTCCTTTTTCTCCATGGCAGCTCCGAGTGGACGATTCAGCAGAAGCTGCGGGAATTCTTTGCCATCCCGCGGTGCCTGGTCAGCGTGTTCAGCCTCTTCCTGGTGGAGCTGATCCGCTTCCTTGGCGAGGCCGTGGTCCAGGTGAGCCGCCCCGTTCCCGCAGAGCCACGGCCAGAGCAGCTGCTGAGGATGTGTCAAAGTCCTTCAGTATCGGGAGAAGGAACTTCCATTTCCCACTGTCGCACAATTCCTCTCCCACAGTAGAATTTTTGTGTCCCAGCCCATTTTTGGTGACTCCTGCTGGCAAATCCCTCAAACACAGGATTTCATCCCAAATCCAGGCGTTGGTGGTCGGTGTCCTGACAGCCATCGGCGACCATGTCCTGAAGCCCTTCCTGGCAGCAGCGTTTCACAGCCTCCTGCAGCCGCTCCTGCTCTTCCTGCTGAAGGTGCTGGGCGGCGTGCGGGACCTGACGGATCCTGTGCTGGACGTGGTGGCCCGGGTGTGCTCCCAGCTGGCCGTGCTGCTCCGTGCCGTCCGGCTGGTGGAGATCCGCCTGCGCCCGGACCTGCGGGCTGGCCCTGGCGACGGCGGCGGATGAGGGCGGGCTGTGGGTGGCCAGACAAGATAAGGAAGAAGAATTGCTGGGAATTGTGGGGCTGGCTGTGCCCAGGAGGCTCTGGAGGGACCGTTGTCTCCGTGTGTGTCCAGGCAGGGGGCAGCACACAGTGTGCTGGGGGGGGTTGGATGTTCTAGTTTGGCAAATATCTCCTTAACTTAATTAAATTCCAATTTTATCCATTGGACCGTTGCTCCAGTGAGGTGTTTTTCCTCCTTCTGCCTGGAAAACTGAGCTTCTCACTGAGAAGGACTTCCCTGTGCAGTCTCTTGTAGCCAGATGGGCTCCACTGCTGGGGTGGTGCCTGGGCCCGTGCCTCGAGCACTGCCGGGAGGGGAAGGCTTCTGCCGGCTCCCCAGCACTGTGGGATGGTCTCCAGAGCCAGCAGTATGGGAGAAAGTGGGATTTGAAAAATAGGGATCACAATATAACGGAATAACCACTTCTGTGCTCCTAACAGCTGTTTCTGGTGCATGATTTGGGTCACATATTCCCATCGGGATGAGGTGGCCAAGGAACCAAACAGCGGCACCAAAGCTCTGGGTGTGTTTTACAAACCCTTGGAGGCGTCAGGGCCAGGACTGAGCTGTGTTTTGGGGCTCCCCCTGTCCCCAGGCTCAGCTCCCTCTGCCTTTTCGCCTTTCCAACAATGCTGCCTCCCAGGAGCGTCTCTCCTGACTGGCGCAATCCCTGTGTTCCCGATGATTCCATGCCCAAAGCCCTTTGCTTTTTATGGGCAGGAGCAGCATGTTTGGAGCTTCCCAGGCTGTAAGATCATCCGCGGGCCGGGGCCGGAGCGCTCCTGCTGGGGGCCAGACTGGCCGGGCTATTTGGGGGGTGCTGAGTTCACGGAGCCGTGACGGGATGTTCCCTCGGGCGCTGCGAGGGGCCGGGAGCTGGGAGCCAGCACAGAGGAGTTCTCGGGGCTCAGGTGACCGAAGGGCAGCGCAGGAATGAGCACTGCAAGCTGCCGGGCAGAGGGAAGCAGCCTGGCTCTCTGGGACAGGGCTGCACATGGACACAGACAGGAGCCGGGCACAGGGATGGAATCCAGGACGTCCTGCAGCAAAGGCAGCGTGTCAGGACAGCCACACGTGGGACACTGGGGACACACGACTGTGTGTGGACACCGGGGACACACGACTGTCCCTGGGTACCCACACGTGGGGGGACACACGACTGTCCCTGGGTACCCACACTTGGGACATGGGACACACGACTGTCCCTGGGTACCCACACGTGGGACACCGGGGACACACGACTGTCCCTGGGTACCCACACGTGGGACATGGGACACACGACTGTCCCTGGGTACCCACACGTGGGACATGGGACACACGACTGTCCCTGGGTACCCACACGTGGGACATGGGACACACGACTGTCCCTGGGTACCCACACGTGGGACATGGGACACACGACTGTCCCTGGGTACTTCCAGCCTTGCTGGGGTGCGGGCCTGGCCTGACCAGTGCTCCCGTGGCCGTTTCCTGAGGAAGCAGACCCGAGGAGGGAGGGGCAGAACTGATGGGAGGTTTCTCATTCCTTTGATTTAGCTGGTGAATCACTTTAATGACTGAAGTGGTTTTAATTAAATTCAGCTGCTCCGGAACCAGGAATTCCCCAGTACAATTTCTCCTTTTTGGCTCAAGCTCTCCCGATCAAAGGCCCGGTAGATGGAGAGAGCTGGTAAAATTGAACGCCCGTGATGAGGAGAGGCTGATGGTGTCATCTTTGACCTCCACCCGTCATCCTGCAGCGGGAGAGGAGGGCGGAGAAAAGCCCGGAGCCCTCGCTGGCGGCAGCCGCATCCCGCCGCGGGCTCCCGGTGGTTCCTCGGCTTGTGGAGCCAGCCCGGGGCAGCCGCTCGGAGCTCGGCTTGTGGAGCCAGCGGGTGTGTGGCTCAGAGAAACCCAGGGGATTTGGGGATTTTGGGGTGCAAAGTGGGGAGCGGGACGTCAGGGCCGCCGCCCCGCCAGGAACAAAAACCTCTTTTCTTCCTAAAAACACAGCCGAGCGTGCCCGGAGCCGCTCCGGCCGCGCCCAGGTACCGCTGCACCGGGGCCCGGCGGTGTCCCGGGGCTGGCGGGAGCGGGCGGCTGGGCCGTGCCCCGGCCAGGGGCAGCGCCGTGCCGGGACAAGGACATTTCTGGGCTGGCAGCGCTCCGCATTGCTGCTCCCTGAGATCACGGCTCCCGGCCCGGCTCCCGGCCCGAGCAGTCGCGATTCGCCTCTCCGGGCCCGGTGCCGCTCCAGCGGGGCCGGCAGCGCTGTGCCTGCGGTGCCTGCGGGACGGGTCCCCCGCCCGGGGCAGCTCAGCCGAGGCGGGCCCGCAGCAGCGGGAGGAGGGGGCACGGGCCGGGATTCAGCCAGCTGGACCGGGAGGGCAGCCAGGAGCCGAGCGCGGTCTCCTTGGTTCTTCCCTAAATAGCCGGCGGCGGGCAGGAGGATTAGCCGGGGCATTCCTCGGCCCGTCCATCCTCCCACAGCCGCCTCTCTCCTGAGCTCCCCCGGCCTCGGGATTCCTCCTCCTCCTCCCTCACGCTGCCCTTCAAACCACCACGGGGGCATCCACAGCCACCCGAGCCCGGCTGGGTTTGTTCCTCCCGCATTTGGCAGCGGCGTTTGGGCTTTTCCCGGTGACGCCCCGGCCCCGCTGGTGGAGCGTGAGGCCGTTCAGAGCCACTGCCCGGCCCGAAGGGTCACGGCGGAGCCAGCCCGGGGACAGTGCCCGGGCAGCGCCGTGTGGGCTCTAGACCTGGTTCAGGGTTCTGTGGGCTCTAGACCTGGTTCAGGGTTCTGTGGGCTCCAGGCCTGGCTCAGGGTTCTGTGGGGTTCCAGACCTGGCTCTGGGTTCTGTGGGGTTGGTTCCAGGCCTGGCTCAGGGTTCTGTGGGCTCCAGGCCTGGCTCAGGGTTCTGTGGGCTCCAGGCCTGGCTCAGGGTTCTGTGGGCTCCAGGCCTGGCTCTGGGTTCTGTGGGGTTCCAGACCTGGCTCTGGGTTCTGTGGGGTTGGTTCAGACCTGGCTCTGGGTTCTGTGGGGTTGGTTCCAGGCCTGGCTCTGGGTTCTGTGGTGTTGGTTCCAGACCTGGCTCTGGGTTCTGTGGGGTTGGTTCCAGACCTGGCTCTGGGTTCTGTGGGGTTGGTTCCAGGCCTGGCTCTGGGTTCTGTGGGGTTCCATGCCTGGCTCTGGGTTCTGTGGGCTCCAGGTCTGGCTCTGGGTTCTGTGGGCTCCAGGTCTGGCTCTGGGTTCTGTGGGGTTGGTTCAGACCTGGCTCTGGGTTCTGTGGGGTTCCAGACCTGGCTCTGGGTTCTGTGGGCTCCAGGTCTGGCTCTCGGTTCTGTGGGGTTGTGCCGTGCCCAGCCGTGGGGCTCTGCTCTGGAGTGTGGGACTGAGGCTGTGAGGGAATCCCCTGCCTTTGTCCCCAGCAGATCCCACAGAGGGTCACACTGAGGTACAAGAGCATTGGGATTGACGGGGATTGTGCCACTGGAAGAAGCTGGGAATGGCTCAGTGCTTTGGTTTCCTGACACCAGCTTCCTTCCCACGGACTGAGGTAAACTGAAAGAGAGCATGAGCCAGCCTTTCCCATGGGGATACACCTCCTGATGGAGGTTCTGCATCCCGGGTTCTCCATCCCTCGTTCTCTGTCCCTTCCATCCAGATTCTCCCGCTGTAGGTCCGTGTGCTGGACCTGGACCATCCACACCCTCATCCTCCACACAAACATGCCCAGACGGCTCTGCCTTGCTCCCAGATTGCTAAAACATTTCCATATATCCTCTTTTCCCCACATTTCAAGAGCAGATTTCCCTTCCTCTCCTCACAGACAGTGGTCTGGGTCCTCTGGGGGCCGATCTCATATCCCTTGTGTTTTGTCTCAGACCATTCCAGCTTTTCCTCCCGGGGTTTCTCAGGGAATTCACAGAGGTAAAGCCAGCGTGGAATCTGTGTCCAGGGCCCCGTGGTGGCTGGGAGGAGATCGATAATGCCCACAGAACAATAAAATTCCCTCTTCTTTGCCCAAATCCCAAGGCCATTCTCCCTGGAGCTTTGCTGGCCAGGGTGACAATGAGGCAAACATGGATGTAGCCAAAAAGCGGGTTAATACATAACGTGCTTTCCTAAATTCTGGGATTTGGAAGTGTCTGAAGGTCCCATTAATAAATATCCAGCTGAGAAGTGTGTGAAAATGAGAATTTTTACCCAGTTTGGGACTGCTCTCACTGACAACTGGGAGGGGGACAAGACCCCTGGGGAAGGGAAGTGTTGTCTGTCAATGCTGTCTGAGCAGAGAAACCCCTGAATGTCCACAGTTTGGGCAAAGCCAGTGGGATTGAGGGATTGGGGAGGTCAAAACAGGAAAAAGGGATCGGGAGTGGGTTTTGCCTTATGCTAAACACCTGAGAGAGAAAACCCAGCTGCAACGTGTCAATGGCTTTAAAAGACTGAGGAACTGGAAGAACTGAAAAAAGAAACAATAGGAATGGTCTGAGGTGTGGAAAAAAGGGGGATTGTGAAGGATTTGGCACTTGGAGGCCCTTCAGCTCCTCCAAAAGGGGAGGAAAAGGGATTTCCATGTGCACTTCCGTAAGGAAATGCAATAAATCACTCCCAGAGCCGTGGAGAGCGTCCGGGCTCAGTTAACATGAGCAAAGGCAGCTGTGGGGTAAAAAGGTGGATGGGTCAAATGGGATTGGCCTGGGAATGGTCAGAGCAGACTGTGGGGGAAGAGATGAATCATCCCCTGCCATGGGGGAAGCTGGGGGAGAGCACAGAAAGACAAATTCCTCTCACTCCTCCTGGGTTTGGTGGGCATTGTTGGAGCATGGCCAGGACTGGGCCAGGAGCTGCTTCGTGTCCCTGGGATTGGGCACGAGTGTCCGCCCCAGAGCCTCCTGGTGCTCAACTCCAAACTGTGTTTTATGCAAAAAAACCCTCCATTTCAGCCTCCTGAGGATTTTTTATTTAAAAAAACCCTCACCTTTCATCCTCCTGAGGATTTTTTATTTAAAAAAACCCTCAATTTCAGCCTCCTGAGGATTTTTTATTTAAAAAAAACCCTCACCTTTCATCCTCCTGAGGATTTTTTATTAAAAAAAACCAAAAAACCCTCAATTTCATCCTCCTGAGGATTTTTTATTTAA